TTAAAGAACAGTGAAGAAGAAAAACAGGTTGAAGTAGGTATAAGGATTAACATACCTTCCTTTTCTTCTTCGTTATTGCTCGAGTCGTCAGAAAACAGATAACTGCGCCACTTATGATAAAGAACGCCATCGTGGACGCGACAAAATACTTTCCTTGTTTATAGATCTCGCCTCTGTATTCATTGACATGAGCATCACCAAGATCGATATCGGATAGCGGAACCGAGAACAGCATTACGGTCACGATACTGATGAACCAAATAAGAATTGCGCAGACCAGAGCTTTCGTGTTCGACTTCCAGGCAAGGTACTTCATGTCAAACGAAATGGCCAGGAACGTATTAATCGTCATGGCGAGCATCGAAGTGAGGTTGAGAACCAAGAAGACTCGATTAAAGATACTAGTCAGGATTCCCAAAGTCTTGCCTCTGAACCAACCCGCCTCCAAAACAGTGTAAGTCATATACGACGGCATGTTGATGACTGCATTAAAGAGATCCACCAGGGCAAGATTGGCGATGAGAATGTTCGGAACTGTTCGTAAAGATTTAAATCGAGCAATGACCGCGAGAACGAAGCCATTACCGAGCACAGAAGCTGAAGTCAGAATGGTTGTTAAAACGCTCATGGCTACCTTGGTTAAAAGTGGTTTTGCTGGATGCATTTTGCGTGTTGCGATCTTACGACCGCGAGAGCTAGTGTGGTATCATAATTACCGCTTGCAAACATAACATCTGCATAGTACTAAAGATTTCTGGATGCTCAATTTCCTGTAAGGTATAATAGCATGAACAATAATCATGGTTCGTGCAGATGTTTATTTTGTTTTGTTTTGTTTTGATGTTTTTTTTTTTTGTTTTTTTTTCTGAGTGGGTTTTGGGTGGTATTTGGCAATAATTAATAGCGCGAGTTACATTTCAAAATTGTCCAAAATATCACGAGCCGCGAAGCGCTGAGTGGTATTTGATTAATTTTGAAATATTACGAGCCGGTATTATTGCAAAGTACTAGGTGCAGGTCATTCTATTATTTGTTTTAGTATAATTTCCAGTGGTAAATATGAGAATTGAACATTCTGATTGGTCGAAAAGCTCGGTTTATGATGCTACAACATATATGAGCTTTGTTACAAAGCTCGCCACCTTTGCCATCTCGGCAAGTGAACATGGCAGACAGTTGCTGTACGAAATTTTCATTTATTCGAGAGAGATCACTTTAATTCTAGGATATTAAAAAGGATGGAGAATTTTTAAAATGAACGCTGTCGACCTTAGACCAAAAATCTTTTCAAGAACTCGTATCCAAGGCTTTAAGAATCGTAAACGAAGTGGTTTATAGTGGAACTAGGGCGGGCCGAAGGTCCGCCAAGCGGAGCACCATAAGTATAGGAACAGGATCACATGCATGCATAGAAATAAAAACCCATGCAACTCTTTTCTCATGGTCAAACTGGCTAGCGGCATGGATAGCGACGAGGAACGACGACAACATCGCGCAACATGGTGGCCATACCCTACCAAGTCATGCAGTCTTGGTTTACAGCGTATATCTTTGATATATATCTTTGATATATATCTTTGATATAATTAAATAGGCATAAATAGGTATCAAATGGTCATTTTTGCAGGGGATATTCTTTTCTCACTAATACAACGAACACGATTACTGTAGAGTTCACAATTCGTATATTTCTACCTATATTATAACCTCCACATTTTTCTTGGAAGCAAACAAGTTCAACTGATTGATAGCTATCTACACCGTGTTGTTATTGCAGTGCAGACTTAGCGTAGCGAGGTTCGTAATTTACAGCAAGACTAAACTTTTTTCCTTTCATCAAAGAATGACTCTGTCTCTTGAAATCCCGTTGAGAGCCGTTCTGGAACCGATGCCGTCAAGCTCTCGCGAGAAACCGCCATCTTCCCTCGGAGACATCAAGTCCAAACGAACTGCAGGCTCATGAATAGGTGCGCCCGCGTTTGCAGTGCTCAGCAGGTCTGAGAGTCTTTGAGGAGGTTCCCGGATTCTGTTTGACCCAGGCCGACTCTTTTCTAATTTAAGTCTCTCGAATTCACGGTTTAGCAGTTTTCTTTCCTGTAAGAGTTGTCTTTCGCGATTTAGAAGCGTCGTTACCTGTGAAAGAGGAAAATACCGTAACTTCAGTAAACTTGTGATAAACGTTGTACGAGGCCCATTCTAATATCAGAGAAAAAGAAACATATTCTAAGAGGTTAATTAAAGAAAATGCGACGACATTTTGACGGGACAAAAACATGGCCTAACAAACAAACAAAATATAGGCGGCTGTATTTACAGCTGACTACGTTTGAAATCACTTTTTTTCATTTGCAAAACACCACCTTCCCCCGCCAAAAATAAATAAACAAAATACATAAATAAACAAAATAAATAAATAAATAAAAACCTGTGAAATTACCTGCAGTCATTTTCAAGCTAAGGGCGGTTCTATATTCAAGAATTACACAAGGCACTTTTAAGAAATCTAAAGAATGCAGTATGCACAGATAGTG